TGCTCTAGGAATTATTTTGGGGAAGTTGGCATGTGTTATACAGGAGGTCAGACTGGATGAGCACAATGATTCCTTAGAATCATAGAATATTAGGGTTGGAAGACCTGAGTTCATGTCCCTGCTCCAGAGCAGGGTTTTGAACTTGGGTCTCCCATATCCCAGGCAAGTATCCTGGCTCTTGTTCCTCTTCTTTTGTGAATGGCACCTAAATCCTCTTGTGAATCTAGTCTGAAAAATCAAAAAGGATTCATTTGGACATTTACAAAAAAATAATTTCCTGTTCTGTTTCAACTGAAACATTTAGCCAAAATCAACTCAAATTCACATGTTTTGGTTTATTTGAATCTGCAGGGTTTTGCTGTTGTTGTTGGTTGCTTGGTTGTTTGGTGGGGGGGGGGTTGTTTTTGTTTTTTGTTTTTATTGGTGACAAAAAAAATTTGGCTGAAATACTTCTGTCAGCTCTAAGTACATCATCAGTTTCTGAATTGCAAAGTGGGTGTCCAATGCATTGCTAAATTTACTAGCTGTTTGTCAGTTCTGCCAGTCTTCCTCTGGTGCTGTCAGCAAAAAGTTTCATTTTTTTAAAGAACTATTCTCTCCTTTCCCCTGACCCTCTGCCTCAATCTCCCAGTGCTCAAGTGTAATCATGCAGAAGATTCATGCAAAAGAGTGGGAAATGTGTCTGCTAAAGAGACATCTTTTAAGATCTGGGCCTGTCCACATACAGATTTTTTTCTCATGGTGAACTCTGCTGCAGCTGATGTGGAGGCTGCTCCTCAATTCCACATATCACTCCGGTCATCACCTTCCTTCCTCTCCCCCCCCCCCCCCACGCACACACAGGTAAAGATGTCAGCAACACTGGGGCTTCAAACTAATGCCATAACATTCTACTGCAGCTGAGATGCTGGAAAGCAGGTGAACAGACCAAGAGAGAAGGGGTTAAAGTCATATATTTGTATTGGATACCAACCTTCCAGCCACGGGGGAACTGTTCCCCTTTCACTAGAGTCCTTCAGTCTCTTTGCATTACTTTTGGTGCCATATAACACTTTAAAAGCTCCCTGGCTGACGGATGTGGCCGGAGGCCGAGATCTGCTGGGAGAACTATAATGTATTGAGTAGAGCCTCCTCAGTAAAGGACGGTGGTATAGCTGTTAAATTGAGTACGGAATGATTTTTAGCTTCTCCTGGAGCTTTTTTCTATCACTATTTATTTTCAGCTCTAATCTGGGACTGGGGATTTGGAGAGGACGTGTGGTTTTCTGTTTGGATGATCCATGGTTGTTGAGATTTTGTCATTCAAACTAGGCAAAAACTCAGCAACTGCAGAGCAAGAGAGGCACGAGGAGCTGGCAGCCCTGGAACTGAATTATTGATTAACACAACGCTGTCTACTGTATGTGCATTAAAGAGGGAAGCACAAAAAGTCATCTGAACTGTTCAATAAATAAAGCTGTTAAAAGAAATGAATTTCATGTGTACCAATATTGAGAGCATATGCAGAGCTATAGTACAATGAAATCCTTTCTTATGGCTGGTGTCAATAGAAGGCAACAAATAAAAAGTAGGTTGGAAGTTTGAGAGAATATTAAAGTTTGACAATCAATAATTTTCCTTTGTTACCGAAGAATATTCAGTTCTGGAGACCTAAAAGAGAAATGTCTTGCATAAATTTTGAAAGTATCTTTATTAAAACCAATTGTTTGGGTCAGGCTGGTGCCTTTTTTTCCCCGTACTGCAAATATCAAACTTTAATCCTTTCTGAAAATAAAGATCAAGCAGTCACTTTAACTAAATACCTTTTCACTGCACTTTAATATCCCATTTTATTAATATCTGTGCATGTCTTTGTTTGCTCTTTAAGTCTTGCAATGAGTCCAGTGTGGTGATGGTTTTGCGGGGAGGGAAGAAGAGAAAATATCCTTTATGATTAGGATATGTAGGTTTTTTTTTTACTTTCTTTTATTCTCAAAGCTTGTTACATTTCCCTAACCTCCCAATTATGTGTCTTTTATATTGAGAATTGAGCCTATATCTAAGAGTATGTCTACACTACCCACCAGATCGGCGGGTAGCGATCGATCCAGCGGAGGTCGCTTTATCATGTCTAGTCTAGATGTGATAAATCGATCCCTGAGTGCTCTCCCATCAACTCCTGTACTCCACCACCGTGAGAGGCCCAGGCGGAGTTGATGGGGGAGTGGCAGCAGTCGACTCACCGCGGTGAAGACACCACGGTAAGTCGATCTAAGTACGTCAACTTCAGCTGCGTTATTCACGTAGCTGAAGTTGCGTAACTTAGATCGATTCCCCCCTCCCCCCCAGTGTAGACCAGGCCTAAGAAATAATAACTGCATCATGATTACTGAAAAGAATCACATTATGCACAAGGAAAAATAACTGTTAACATTGTTTGTACATGAGAAAATATATCCAGTAAGGTAGCTTGCAGTATCTTCTTTATTAAAGGCCATGTTGCAGCATTAGTTTTGTTGTTGTTGTTGTTGTTGTGTTGTTGTTTTTTTTAAATCAGTGAAGACTTCTGCTTAAAAATTAATGGCACACTATGGCCCTAACAGTGGTAAATTCCATGGTGATATAAATTGCATTTTGTTTTTTTAAGATTTAAAATTAACCTCTCTTAAACCCTGGAAGAAATTTACAGCATGCTTGAGAAACTGCATTTTGCCTTTGAACATCATACATAGAACTTTTGAACAACCTATCTTTGCTGTCCACAAGATCTCCATCGGAGTCTCAGTCTTGCTGGTATTGTAAATACATGATGGTTGAAGGTGTAAGTTAGGCAGAAAACAACTCTGCTTCCCTGCCATGAAAATAAGCAGTGTCCCATATAAAATAGAATGATTGCCTTTGCTGGCCATCAGCAGCACACAATGAAGAAGGAGCAGTCATATCAGCCCAGGATGGAGAGATGCCAAACAGACATACTTGGGCCCCATAAAAATGCCAAGGGACTAGTCCTGACAATTACACCAGCATAGCATCATCATCATAGCAAGAAACATTTGCTGCCTATGAATACTTAGCTGTGCAGAAAATTCACTTTCTCTGAGCATTTTTTCAAGCATACTTCAGTTGCTTGAATGTTAGTGGAAATCCAACACAATGGGGCTGTGTGCAGACAAGTTGTGACGTTTACCTAATTCCAAAATCCAGAGTTACTGCATTGACTCCAGTGCAGATTCTGTGGATTTTCACCAGTGAAACTGAGAACCTCATTTCATCTGTTGAGACCTGAGTTCACTTACAAGAGAGCTAGCTTTTGTTGGGGATGGTATGGCATGAGTTAAAATGTATGGGTCTGACCCAAAGCCAAATGAAGTAAATGGGAATCGTTAGATGGACTTTAATAGGCTTTGGATCAGACCATATGTAGGTGATGTGGGTGCTAATTTTCACCATTTATATCCCACTGAATTTGGTGCAAAGACTCCTACGGTAGCTGTGCTCAGACTTTCGTTGGGCTGAATTTGATCCATTTTTTAAAAAATATTGTAACTGCTTATTTTGCATCCTTCTACCATTGCCATTTTACTAACTACTGACAATGAATCAAAGAATTTCATAAATACAAAAATAATAGAGAGGGAGAAAGAACACCACTGTAATTACACTGGCTGGAAAACACAACATTTTTTTCATCAGTCATATGAAATATTCTACACTGGGGTTCACAGTTTAATGTATTTAATATGACTCACTGAGACAAGCACACAGTCAGACAATATGATTTTTCATTGTTGGCATCTGGCTGCTACAAGGGTCACTACAATTGTAATAGCTCCCTTGATATGATAGTTCTGTCTCAGCCACATAGTTACTGTGCTGATTTATTTTTTAATCTGTAGGTCTGGTATATGTCAGTGTAAATGTGTATTAGTGTCTTGCATTACCAATTTTGTGTGTGTGTGTGTGTGTGCAGCTTTGCAGTTTTCCCCATTTGCTGCTCTTTTGCTGTTTTCCCCCTATTATTATTATTATTATTTTATTTTATTCTGGTAGCAGCTAAGGACCCAGCCCACTCCTGAACTGCAACATCCCTGCCATTTAACACTAGGCCTCTCCTGATAAGAGACCGCCAATCATGACACATGCATTCTGAATCAGTGATTTTATTTTATTCTGCTATATTGGCATAGTTTCCTTTTCATCCTTTTTAGTTCCTGTGGAATTCACACACTTTCATCTCTCTGAGAATAAGGTTCAGTGCAAAGCTGTCTGTGTATAGCTCCAGTTATGGTAAGAAAGGGGGAATGTTTCCAAGGCTTATGTTTTGTGGCGGAGATTAAAAAAAGTACAGCATCCCACCTCTTCATAATTTGGTACACTATACGTCAGTATTTTCTGCATGAATCAAGAGTAAATATATTAGAAATTGCTGAGGTGTAACAAATGTATTTGATAACTAGGCCAAAAAGAGCACTTGTCTTCAGAAAGACACAAAAGTAATACTAAACAGAGTAACAATGAACCATTCCTACAGTTACTGTGCAGTATCCTACAGCAACTCAATGCTATCAGCAAAATAGTACTAGTTTTTTAAACTCTGCTTCCTGATCCTCTCTCTCTCTCTGTCTCAGGAAACTAACTAGGTGTGAGAATTTTGATGAACACTTCAATGTAATTTTACATAATTTAATGTTGCCATGTAAATCTCTTTTATAGGTCCCTTTAGATGGAATTTAATGCGGCAAAAACCTTGTCATCAGAAGGATTAATGTCTGCATTAGCATTTCCGCAATAAAATCTGAAGCTAAGTGGTGGAGGCCACAGACACCTCAAACCTGGATTCTACAGCTCTACATTAAGTGCTGGAGTTTTTATTACTTGCTGTAGGGAAGCCTTTGCCAATGCTTACAAGGAACTGTTTATCCCTGCTTCTCTGGGTCCTGTTTGATGGAGGTCTCCTAACACCACTGCATCCACAACTACAACAGACTTTAGAAGCACAGCCGAGAGAAAATGTTGTCACAATGCCAGGGAGGAGGTCATCCGCCCAGCGGGTCAAACGAGGCTGGGTATGGAATCAGTTTTTTGTGCTGGAGGAATACATGGGCTCTGAACCCCAGTATGTGGGAAAGGTAATTTTTTTACTTTTTCTTTAAATGCTGAAGTGACACACAGATAGTAATATAAGCTATAAATGTGTACGTTTTAGACAGGATGAATTTTCTCCATCCTTCCCTCCCCCTCCCAACTCCCATAAAGTTAAACTGAGTCTTCTGGTGTTATATTTTGTGTATCTGGTGGATCATACAAAATATGAATGCAAAACTGTGCTCAAATTAAATTGAAATTTAGAAAGTCCCTCACTTTTCCTGCAGCTTAAAAATAAATAAATGAATGAATAAATAAATAAATAACCCATATTTTGGTGTTTCGTACATGTCGCCATGTAGGAAAAGAGAACAACAAAGCTATTAATAATGCAGTTTACATACTGTATAGGGATCAGATCTTCAGCTGGTGTAAATTATCATAGCTCCATTTGTTTCTGTGCAGTTATGTTGATTTATATCAGCTGAAAATTAGACCTTATTTGTTAGAATACTAGGGTACAAACAACTGCCCACCCCAGCATATAATTAATGTGGATATCAATATTTTTTTATCCACAGATTTATAACCTTTACTATCTATGTTCACATTGGACTAATTTTCTTATCCCTTGCTTTGGAGATAAAATAAATCTGGGAATTCTGAAACATTTTGGTGTAGTATGTATAACTAAACCTAGTAGGATCTATTATATTGCTGTTCATTGTTAGAATTAGATGTAAGATCAATCTCAGGGGTCAGATTTGGACCTGCCATTCTAGGGCCCAGGGACAAGCATACTGCCTCTTGATCCATACTTAGGTACTGTATGTTTAGACTGTCATTTCTGTGTTTGGGTACCATTACTCCCATTAGTTTCTGGCAAACAATTGTTTTTGGTCTGTTAAGGACAAATCATATTATGGTACCATATGCTTCACTTTCTGATCATTTCTACTGTTGCCATGCATGTCTGACAGGTGGACAGGTTGCCTCATATCACATGATTCAAACAAATATACTAATCTGTTGCAGCTCTTGTAATGTGTGTGTGTGTGCGCGCGCGCGTGTATGAGCGCGTGCACGCTCAGACACACATACACAATATAAGGGCTGCATTACAAGATAATGTTTGTTTGAACCATGACTGTGTGTGTGTGTGTGTGTGTGTGTTACACTGATCATTATTTCTTCTGTGGTGCATGAATAAGTTGGCAACCAGTTGGGTGGGGTGGGGGCAAAGGTGAGAAAAGTGTCTTCAGAAATGAAAGATAAGACACAACCTAAAGTATCAGGCAGTCAATGTTCAGAGTTGCACAGAGGTTGGAGGAGTAGTTAACAGCTCCAATTAAGTTTTAGTAGGATACGTCAAAATCTGTATGATGCACTGGAAATTGACCGAGTGATGTTTTACCTAATTAATATTTTTCCTCTCTTCTGTTATGCATAAATTCTACTTTGACCACAGGACTTTACTCACTGGAAGTCAGAGGCCAATGATTCATCTCTTGGGCACTCAAAACTGCCACTGAAATGAGTGTTGGAGTTTTGCTTGCAGCAGAAATGCAGCATCATGCATTGACTCTCAGCTTATTATCATATTTTTTTCCATCATTGTTTTAAATTTAAATGGTTCTGTCTATGTGGGGAATGAATACCATATTCTAACTGTAACCTGAATGATATTTTCAACAACTTCACTTCTTTACCATTCCTGCCCCAAGCAAACCCCTCAGAACCAGGGAAAGAAGAATAGAAGACTCCATAAAATCCAATAGGGACTTTGCTTTGCCAATCTAAAGTGGAATGTGTTCAAATATTTTAGCTTTGGGCATTAATAAAATCCTAAAATAGAGATAGATAAAATTTTGAAATGCAAAATATATATAATGAGGACAAAACACAAAAGGTAACATGGTGAACCTGTTTACCACCCTCCTCCCCCGGCCCCCGCAAAAGCAAACTAATATGATGATAAAATTTGGTCCTTGATGCTGTGTCTGAGATTTACTGTACCTATAGTTCCTGGAGTCATGCAGTGTTTAGTGACATCAGGAAAAGCTGCTCACACACTGTAGTGATCAGAGTGGTATACAGACATGGATGGATAGACAATGTAGCTTCTGTATTCTGTATTGGGTTTTTCAAATTACTTTAGCATTGTTTATTTGAGATTGAGACAGGATTTGTCAAACAAGCATCCAATCAAAGTAGTTGAAAAATCCTGATATACTACAGTGCTGCTGATCTGACACAAGCCTGACCTTCTGAGCACACGGAGGTGGGAAACCCTGTATCTCCTCCCCCTTTTTAAAATGTAAGTAAATAATAAAAGTGATCATCAAATTTGCTACAGTTGTACATTATAATTTCTCGTAAAACCTTGCAATGGGATTTCCTCTCTAGCATCTTCTGTATAGGACAGAGGAAGGGATGAATTAAATCACATCATCTCCCGTGGTACAGGATTGCTAAACTTTCCTCTGTCGCAGCACACAGAGATGCTAACATAGCACCACCATGGCTCATAGGTCTTTATGATCTTATGTAAGATGATTGGCTAATAATTCTGGGCAATTTTAGACTGACAAAGGGATACCTGGGTCATATTAGGCTTGCATGAACAATGGGTAACATTTGTGCATCTTTACTTGTCAAACCAAAAGAACCATTATGGTTAAGGAGCAATATTGGTCATGAGTAGGATTTACAGATTAACCAGGCCTGTCTTTAATTCTGAAGTCTTTTTTTTAACTGATTCAAGTTGCTGGAAAGAGGAGTTCTTTATCACACATAGGTGTATGGATATAATTGCACTTTAAGATAAGTAATATTGATGCATCTTGAGTACTTAGTGTACACTTTAAGGAAATGTGCCCCTAGTGTGCCACTTCTACCTAGAAGATAAAAATAAAATATGAAGGATCTGCTTGTGGAACACACAATAATTGAGAAAAGGTAATGAATGCCTCATTAACATTGAGGCAGAAAACACAGATCTGATTCCAGGACATGAAAACTGTTTGAGCTGATCATGTATTGAAACAATGTATGGTTCTACTTTATGCTTATTATCAATTACCTCTGTGAGGCAGAATTTTATCCATCATAAGCATTTATCTCCAAATATATATATACACCTCTACCCCAATATAACGCGACCCGATATAACAGGGGTTCGCATACAATGCGGTAAAGCAGCGCTCCGGCGGATCAGCGTGTCAGCTCCCAGGCATGGTGCTCTGCTTCCCACCGCCGGTGAGTGTGGGGAGGTTGGGGAAAGGATGCCCCCCGTACTCACCTGCAGTGGGAAGTGGAGCGCCGCAGCTGGGAGCTGGAGGAGTGGAGCGGACTGGGGCTGGGCTGCTCCGCTTCCCGCCGCTGCCGGTGAGTGCCCGTCAGGGGGCGGGGGTGTGTGGATAGGGGTCGGGGGGGTTGGGTAGGGGGTGGGGTCCTGGGGGTGATTAGGGACGGGGGTCTCTGGAGGGGGCGGTTAGGGGACAAGGAGCAGTGGGGCCAAAGCAAGTTCGATATAACGCTGTCTCAGCTATAGCATGGTAAGAATTTTTTGGCTCCGGAGGACCGCATTATATCAGGGTAGAGGTGTGTGTGTGTGTGTGTGTGTGTGTATCAGGGGTTGGCAACGTTTGGCATGCGGCTCGCCAGGGTAAGCACCCTAACGGGCCAGGCCAGTTTATTTACCTGGTGACACGGCAGGTTCGGCTGATTGCGGCCCCCACTGGCCGCGGTTCGCCGTCCCGGGCCAATGGGGGCGGCGGGAAGCCGCGGCCAGCTCATCCCTCGCCCGCGCCGCTTCCCGCCACCCCCATTAGCCCGGGACGGCGAACCGCGGCGAGTGGGGGACGCAATCGGCCGAACCTACTGCATCACCAGGTAAATAAACTGCCCCGGCCCGCTAGGGTGCTT